ACAACAGCAATAACAACAAGAATACCACTGTCAACAACAACATAACAGTAACACAAGAGACCAATGCTCAAATATATGGACACGAAGATCAGAGCAAAGCAGTAGTCTACCTTACCTTCACAGCACGGTACCGTCAAAAACTTCCGACTTTTGTGTAGCAAGAGAATATCGCTAGAGAGGTCGAAAAATTGCATATATACAAATTTGGAAACATCCATAAAATGAAAGTAATCATACATGACGAAATTTTGACACGAGCAGTTATGCGCCATGAAATTTAAATATTCCCTTCCAATACAAGACAGTACATTGAACCGAGAAGGAAGAATTTTTTTAAAAATGACTTATATAATATATATATATGCTCAATGCTACAAATAATTTGTATCAATTTTCAAGAGGTCATCACACGAAATTTCGAACTGAAAAAAAGCGAATCCTACGAAGTGCAAAGAAATAAAAGTAATAGCCTTTTAGCGACGAATACAATCTTTAATCTTCGAAAATTTCAAAATGAGTGATTCAGTAGTTAATGAACAAGAGAGCAATGCTCAAATATATGGACACGCAGAACAATTCCCCAAAAATCATATGCGGTGACCAACGACTAACATACCGGCGGTGACTTACCAGTACCTGTATCGGGGTACCGTGACGGTACAGGGACTGTCATAGATATTTTAGGTCCTGTGACAATTGAAACATCAGTTGAAATATCTCGTGATATGAGTCAATTATGTACCGGTACCGTATTATCGGATCAGGTACCGAACCACAGTCAAACATTTCACATAAAAACGTTACTAAATAACATGCGTCAACTTAACACCAGCCGAATCGGGGTACAATTTTTGGTACAGTGACTGTCATAGCCGTTTAGGGCTGATGGACAATTCGACTACACGGACAACTCACCAGGCCTAGGGTGGTGTAGCCAGTCTGCGGACAATTTCATTCAAACCGCTATAAAACAAAAACCAATATATCTAACCCGTTAATTTTTTCACCGTGGGTGCATTGGCGGCATTTATTCTACACGCTAAACCTCGTATTAACTTTCTACGACAAAGGGTTAAAGCTATACAAATCCCCAAAGTACGGCACTCGAAAGACGTATTTGCGACCGAACGACCAGTGTGCGACCACGGATTTCAAGCCTTGATCATCGTTTCTGCTGCGTCGAGATTATCGCATACGCAGCCATACAGCAATCAAACAGACAAAACACGGTGGTCGCAAATTGGTTGACAATTGTTGGTCTTGTGACAGCGTGAAAACATTGGGCTTCTAGGCTAATTGCATTTCTGACCGTCATATATTTCAAGAACACGGTTATTTCGAACAAAACTCGTTAAATTATAAACAAAGCACCCCATCACAGCAATCAAACAGACGAAAACACGGTGGCCGCAAATTGGTTGACAAAGATATTATCGACGTATCGGAAATGCACACAGGGGGTGCTTCCCCCTCCTTCAAATGTAGAAACGCGAAACTTTCAAATATGGTTAAAAGAAACACAACTCTACCCACCTGCCAAGTTTCATCTTTTTATTTCTCAAATTTGTATGGATTTTCAAGCTTTTGACAGCTACGAGTTAGTTCAGTGTCACCGCGCTGTGTTACGGTACCAGAACTTTTCTATCTTTAGAAGGTCCTGTCTTGTGACAGCGTGAATTGAAATTGCAAGATGGTCCGTTGGACACAAAATGGCGTCCGATATCCGCAGAACGTTTAATGACGTCATAGCAAACAAAAACAAATCTTACAGAGCTAACAGAAATATTTGAAATAAATAAAAGTAATAGCCTTCTGGAGAAAAATTTCATCTTCAACCACTGAAAATTTCAAAGCAATTAGTCCAGTAATCAAAGAGAAAAGCGACTTTTTAAAAACGTGTCAAAGAACAAGAACAACAACAACATAATATTGAAACGATCGTTATGTCCACTACGTGTCCAAAAAACCTTTTTTTCCCATACGATTACAACAAGAAGAAAATACCAACAAAACCAAGAGAGCAATGCTCAAATATATGGACACGCAGAACAATTCTCCAAAAAATCATATTCGGTGACTTACCAGTACCTGTATAAACAACGCACCACATCACAGGAATCAAACAGACAAAAACACGGTCGCAAATTGGTTGACGAAGATATAATCGACGTATTGGAAATGCGCACCCCCCTATTCTCCCTCCTTTAAACGTAAAAACGCGAAACCTTCAAAGATGGTTAAGAGAAATACAACTCTACCCACCTGCCAAAGTTCATCTTTTTATCTCTTATATTTGTATGGATTTTCAAGCTTTTGACAGCTACGAGTTAGTTCAGTGTCACCGCGCTACCAAAACTTCTCTATCTTTGAAAACATTGGGCTTCTAATTGCATTTCTGACCGTCATATACGGTATTTTAAGAACACGGTTATTTCGAACAAAAATTGTCAAATTATAAACAAGAGAGCTATGCTCAAATATATGGACACGTAGCCATATAACCCAATAACGTAACCTAACCCAATAGCAATAATTTTGATGACGTCATAGCGAAAAAAAAAGTAATAGCCTTCTGGAGAAAAATTTTATCTTTAACCACTGAAAATTTCAAAGCAATTGGTCCAGTATTCGAAGAGAAAAGCGATTTTTTAATGATAATGACGAAAGAAAATAACAATAACAACGCAATTTTGAAACAATCGTTATGGCCACTAAACGTGTCCAACAAAGCACCACATCAAAGCAAATAAACGGACGAAAACACGGTGGTCGCAAATTAGTTGACAAATACTGACATGACACAGTATCAGCATTTGCAAAGTTATAACTGTATGATTTAAATATTTATTCAGTTCAAAATTTTGTTAGGCAAGGATACCGGCACTGGTAGTCTATGCCAATTTTAGTTTTTGTCCAAAGTAGGCAAATCTGGTGAATGAAATTCATTTCACTACCGCTACTAGGCATTCTGACATTTGATATATTCCAGTATTCGGATACCGGTACAAATTTTGGTGTTCGTCCGAAGTAGCCAAATCTGGTAAAAGAAATTAATTTTACTACCGGTACCAGGCATTCTGACATTTAATATATTCCAGTGTTCGTCACTTACCGGTACCGGGTAACAGCGTATGGTACCGATGTTAGAACCGCAGTTACCGGTACGGTATTAGGAATAAAATATTTTACATGTTTCCTGTTTATAATACAATAACTGAATAACCGTATTGGTCTAGTTACGGTCTACATACCGGTACATACTTGGTCTACATACCGGTACTGGTCTACAAGACATACCACAGTCTACAAATATAATGACACCAAGCAAGCAGTCCATGATTTCGAAAAACAAATACCGGTAGCGAAGAGCGTAGCAGTATTTACCTTTGACGCCACCGGTACCCACAGAAAATTCCGAGTTTCGCGTAGAAATAATTTACAGAATCAAACCGGACAGCCAGTGTTCCCATGGATAAAATAATACAGCGAAATATCAGATTTCATGCGAAATTTAGAAATAAATAAAAGTAATAGCCTTCTGGCAAAAAAATCAATCTTTACTCACTGAAAATTTCAATGGACACGTAGCGCCACCCAATGGCAATCATTTTGATAACGTCGTAGCAAAAAAAAAATAATAGCCTTCTGGAGAAAAATTTTATCTTTGACCATGAAAATTTCAAAGCAATTGGTCCAGTATTCGAGGAGAAAAGCGATTTTTTAAGGATAATGACGAAAGAAAATAACAATAACAACAAAATTTTGAAACGATTGTTATGGCCACTAAACGTGTCCAATACCAATAACAACAAAATTTTGAAACGATCGTTATGGCCACTAAACGTATCTAACAACAACTTAACTTCGTGTCCAAAAGCAATCCTTAGGTCCGTTTCGTGTCCAACCACGGAAATGTTCACTATTTAATATTTGAATCGACGATGACTGTGCCGTGTTACCTGCTAACAAAACTCCGTGATCACATCTCGATCATACGGTGGTCGGACTACCGGTACTGTGCAGAATTTGATACAATACTTCGTTTTGTCCTCCGTGTTCATGTATTTAAGTATTACTCCCTTGTTATTATTATTATTATGTTGTTGTTAGTGTTGGGCACAAATTTTTATTTAGTATATATACATTAATACAATACAATTGTATACATTTTATTATTGAGACACTCTGTAGCCTCTATTGATAACACTGGAAATTACACGCCGTATTTTAGGTGGTTGTATCATTTTTCAGTTCAATTTGTCTGGTTCTAGGAATTATCTCTATGTAAAACTTTTGTCTGCATATTCTGACTGCAAATCTTGTTAGCTTGCACGAGCCAACATTAAATATGGCCAATCTTTATTGGTATTGAACCTTTTCTCATCACTTGGCACCAGTCAAAATTATCCAATGTCCAATGAAGCATCAACCATTCTGATATTGCGATGTGTGAAAATTTATTGATAAAAAAGTTAGCATACAACTGAGCAGCTAGAAAATGCACACAAGAGACAATAAATGAAAATGGTGAACTGTGAGAACAGAATTAATATATATAAGTTCTTTTTATCATGGTCGAAGGTATCAGCCTGCACTAATATGCACATAGTCTACCGTGCATAACCTCGTGGACCGAAAAAAAGCTTGATAGCATTGAATATATTGTGTGTATCTGTACATATATTACATTTTCGTAAAAACTTGCAGTGATACGAAATATTCTGTTATATTTGACATGGCTTTTCATACCATGGTTTCAAAAAAATCATTAACGAATATTATCCACCCCAAAAATAAAAAGGGGCCGTTTTGTGTTCCTGAGTCACTTCCAAAATATTGTTTAATTTGCGTAATGATTCCTTCTACCGTTTTCATCTAACAAGTCAATCAATTTGTAAAATTAAGTTAAAATCAGGTGTAATTAAGGTAAACTTCCTATACGTTACATCAACATTCAATATATTATGTCACTTCGTTATAGTTTCAGATACAGATAGTTCAAGTCAATAACTAGTTCAGTTCTTTGTAATCCTTACATTCAAACAGGCATGTAAAAGAACCACTCTTCATCCGGAATAGTTTTTTGCTCGACTATTTCGGATCTTTATTTTTCTTGATGGGAAACTCAGGAAAAATGATTTTTTCACCCTCGCATTCGTACATTAATCTCATAATCTCTATATCCCAAGATGTCGAAGTTCCTTCGGTTGCTGAGAATAAAAGGTCGCCATTGCCCTCTGGAGCCACTACATACTTACTATTCGTGGTGGACTGTAAACTAACTCCACCTCCATAGGGATTGAGAGTAAAATTTCTGAAAAATGAAACATTTCAAAAACATTATTTATTACAGTAATTAACAATACAACATTTGCAAAACCAATACCTCAAACTTGAAATTTGAACTTAAATTATAGTACATGTTTGGTATAAGTAAGCTTTTATTCAACCTGTACAATCCACAGAGAAAAAATCTAGAATATCGGTTAGAAACCGAGGACTTATCGGTCGAAGGTTAGGGGATCCCCCAAAACAGTGGTCTTACTCCATAGTGACACCGTGTGTCCCATCACTAATTAATTAATAACTCGCTAATTATACGACATAATCCATCCAAAATCAATAGGCTTCTGATCCGAGCTATGATGAATGCACATGCAAAATTTGGAGCAGATTCAACCTCGTTTTCGTGAGATATCGCATGCATCTGACACACAGACATACAGACAAATACCTATCAACATACTTACCGATCTTAAGATCGATAAGTAACAACTAAAATATTCGTTTCCACCCTTTTTTAACTGCGATATTATTATATTACATGAGAATTTGTCTCAAAGGCGGTCCAAGTAGAATGAGAGACGTCTTTTTTCTGTAATACTACAAAGTTAAAATTGTGATTGATTGTTGCAACTTGCAAGATTACCTCACGTCATTTGTAACATTCACGTGTACGGAGGGACTAACGGAATTCAAAACCTTTTGCTTAATCTTACAGACTTACACGCATACAAGTTTTTATGCACTGAAAATTCCACATTTATTCATAATAAAACCCAAAAGCCTGAAATTGTCATTACTACGTGTATACTCCCATCTTATACTCTATAGCAAGAAGTTACAAGTAAATTAGGTTGTAAGCTAATAATTACACTTTTCGATGCAATATATCGTTCACTGTTGTATTACTCACGCTGGCACAGTTCCAAATTGCAGAGTATCATCGGCATTTAAAGATCCAACCGCAAACTGAACTTTCCTATCGTCAGTGGTAGATAAAGTCCAGTCCTGATCAGAACTGAGCTGTTGGACTTGAATTTGAGCATTCGCTGTCGCTCCATCACACAACCATTTCTGAGAACTGTTCAATTGGTGAACTTGAACAGTGAATTGATCAATTATGCTGGAGAAAATATAAAAACTCCAAATTTTATTCATGTGAAAACAATTTTCATCTGTGCCAGTGTTATTTTTTTACGAAATGTCCTGAATGATGTTTGCGCCAATGATAAACCGCATGCTCATCGGCAACAGTTACATAAAATCACATTTCACGTTAATCATTAAAATCGAGCGTGACAGTAAACTCCTTTCGTGAACAAATGATCAGAACCTTCACCATCTTGTCCAATTATGGATCAACTAATTTGCAGTATAAAAAAAACACACCAGACATGGTCGCGTAGAGTTCCGGTTTCAATTTAAAAACGAAAAACTAAATTTTCCTTTAAATATACATTGTGCAGTGCAGATGACACACTGCCAAAAATAATAGATTCTTAGACATCAATTGGGTAATTTCAATATTCGAGCACAACTACACAAGGTCTTACTTAAATAAAATAATTTTAGGCTCTGGACAAATTCGGGCCTTACAAATAGTTAAAAATGAATACTAACGAATCAATCAATTCAAATGATGGAGAAAGGAACCAGTGTATTGCAGAGGTTGGACTCTCGGTTGTCACCATTTCCAACTTTCCTCCGTTATTATACAGATATCTGTTTGTTGTATTTTCAGCTCGCAGAAACAGCCCGCGTTTAGGTTGAAGAAGCATCGAAAAATATCTTTAAAAAATAAAACCTGTTAGGTTGTATCGCAATTGATAGTGATATATCGAATGTGAGGAGATAATAGATTGAATACCAAATACACAGCAGGTTTGACATGCAGACTACAGTCAGTCGAGATCTACATTCAGGGTCGATTTTCTCAATTCGAGGTTGAGAGGCGAAACGAAAAAAACATCGTTCATGTTTCACTATCTGGTAATTGTGATACGTAGCTTTTTCTACCGTTGACAGCAGCGTTTATTGGGACATTAGTAATAACAGCATTAGCTACGTAGATTAGATAATACAGCATATGTATGGTTTGGGTATTTAATTCTCCCATTCAAAAATGGCCCAACGTTTTTGATTTGGCCGTGAAAAGTGTTTGAAAACAGTAACATACGCTAAGTTATTATCTTAGTAATTGTAGTATAATTCGTATAACAATTTTCTTTCTGGCTGTAGTTCTATTCGGAAAATAAAAGTATTATTCCAATGGACTCAGATCAGCTCATTTCCGCAAAATCATTGTATTTGCGTCAGATTAGGCTATTGTTTTGGCAATAGGAATGCGAAACTGCACGATCACGATATTTGGCATAAAGTAGCGTCTTCGTGTACATGAACCAAACGTTGGGAAACAATATTATAACGAGAATATCGATCGGAGACCAAAGACTTATCGATCGAAAGTTAGGGAATCCCCCAAAACAGGAACTGCGATTTCGATTCCTCCGATCTTACTTCATAGCGAAACCGTGTGTCTCATCACTAATTAATTACTAACTCGCTAATTATACGACATAATTCATCCAAAATCAATAGGCTTCTGGTCCGAGATATGCTGAATGCACATGCAAAATTTGGGCAGATTTAACCTCGCTTCCGTGAGATATCGCGTGTATCTAACAGACAGACAGACAAACAAACATCAACATACTCACCGATCAAGATCGATAAGTAACAATATTAAATAATTTCAATCATTGGAATGAGTCAATACTATTTTTTCACATAAGTCCAGTTTACAACATCTTAGATGGTGGATGTGATTATGGGGAAAAGGTGTAAACATGTACAACAAACAACTACACTATCAGTTATTTGCAGAGTATATCAATGAAAGTCATATTTATCTCCTCACCTCCCCTTCCCGTTATCGTCCGCGATATCGTCATCATATTCAAGTGTAACATCGTTGTTGCTCTCGTTGAACGTGACGTACATTTTCTTATTATTCTCTGACATAATATAAAAACTCCACGACAATTTATCGTTAGGTCTCTCCAATCTCCAGCCTTCAACACCTTCGGGACTTAGTTGAACGGGAATATTGTCATGTAAAGATCGGTTGCTGGAAATCCATTTTTGGCCTTCCTTGTCCGCTAATTCGAGTTTAGCATAATTCAGGCAATCTTTATTTTTCTTCTTCTTGGATTGTATGGGAATGCATCCACAGAATGTCGACATTATTTTATTATTGTTTTACTTAGGAAATAAAAATTGCAATGGTAGAATATCCGGTTTTAATAGATAAATACAAATGTACGTACTTTGTTGATAACACTCTGGAAACGCAGACAATACCAATTTTACGATGTGAGATATTAGATAATAATTCTTGTTCTGAAGTTTTATATTAATAAAGTATCTTCAATTTTTGATAATTCAAAGGTCCCTCGGGCAATGCGGAATAGCTCGTTTTGAAATATATGAATTAGGTTTCAGAGGTTATGACTATGAGTCATTATCGCTATTTATATTTTCCTGGTACGGAGAGGAAAGTGCTCACGGTGGGTGACTAATACCGGCATTATAATACTAAATGTACATTGTGTGAAATCATACTCTATTTCCATTTCAATATTGTCAACAACTACGGGGTCTTGTACTGAATACATGTAACCATCATCACGTTTCCTTACCTTCCCCTTCTCTTTTATGAAAAATGCCAGTTGAATTACCATTGCGCTTTATAGACAAATTATTACAGATCGTTCGCACATTTGTTCCACTTATTAGGCATTTAATTCAGAAAAAACTTACTAATACTACAACGAAAACTGAAAGTACAATCTCAGCTCCCTTTATCTCAACTATTCGTTTTACAGAATATTTTCTTATGCACGTATTGAAACCAACGCCAATCAGTTCCGCTTGGCGCAAGCGCCGGAATGCCTACTGGCGTGTTCTGAACAGCAATGCCGCAGTTTATATATCTTCAATCGTTACGCACTATGAGCGGTGCAATTTTAAGGAAAAAAGCACTTCTAGTCAATAAATTGGCAGTGATCGTGTAATCACATTGCCGATGCCCATTTATGGATATTCTGTGACGAATAATTCCTCATCTTATGGTGAATTACGGCATATTATTTATAATATGTGCTGATAAAAGTCTCACAAACTCTAGAAAAATCGAGTATTTTAACTCAATCGTGCCTTACAATTTCTAGTAATAATCCTTTATTTGCTCAACATCATTTTCTATCATGATATATAAGACATGGACTACAACATATTTTCAGTAGAAGTGCTTCGTCACACACTGATACAAAACTTTCGGCAGACTGCAGGGTTTAAAATTGACAATAACTTGCACAACATCAGTAACTCAGTTGAAATCTGACTGATGAAACTTATGTTTATTTATGGTGTTTTGCGTGTAATAGCAACGGTTAATCTGTTTCAATAATATTTGTCACGATGTAACTCTCGAAGAAAATCAAAGATTTTATTCGAGCGCTTCAAATAAAATGATTTCATTAATTACGAACTGAAGAATATTATATATAAATCATAACAACGCATGCGGTGAAAAAATTTGATCTTTTGTGAAATATATGACAGTAATATGACTATTTCTTGTAGTTCAGCCTAATTTTATCATAGTATTAAAAAAGGAATAAATGATATAAACATACAATGTTAACAAGTTTCAAAAGAGAGCTATAAAAGTAAAATTGTCGTGTAGATTAGTGAGTGATGGGGGAATTTGAAGACGTGAGGAGAAATTTCGAAATCAACTCGAACAAAATCTCATTTTCTCATTTTGTTGTTGGTTTCGCATCAGCGTACTTTCCACCGCCTATTTTAGTTCATGTTTTATTATCTGCGACGTAAGTAATGATGTAAAGAGAGTAAATAAAACACCATTCTCCCAATTTAACTTGTGGGTAATATGCCACGGGGAATTTCTTAGTTGAGTAAACACTAAACTATGTGATCATAAAGATTACATCATGACTGAAAACTCCGCTTGTTAATGCCTTTTACTTCCGTACTAACAGTGTAGACTACTTTTGTGCATCGTAAGATTGATATTATATGGCAATTACTATTATTAATATATTGCAATTTTACCTGTTTCAATTTTTTCACTTATTATGCATTCTTCTTGTCAATAGACACGTGCTTGCACATAGCTTAAATAATTTCAAAACATAATAATCGTTCGCATTGCCAACTCAGCAGCAAAAAAAAAAGATTCTGAAAGAGATATGTCCGAAACAATTTGGTGTGGATTTAATTTAATGGTTTCCAAACTCGGGGTAACGCGCCGAACATATTCAACTACTGGGTCAGGTTCCACTTTATCGGACTGGAACAGGATTTATTTGTTGCAAAATATGTCATCAACATTGTTTCTTCATATTGCGTACATGATAAAGGAATTGCCTTCGTTTCGCACAAGCAAATACGGCTTTAACGTTTATACGGACTGCGACAACAGTGCTAAAGCCTCATTTACTATATGCACATAAAGGTGAAAAGTATCGGAAACGACTGCGTTGGGCTCGTTAAAGACCTTATTTACTTTGTAGAATAACGATTTGTGTGTTTAGCATAACGGTAACATAGTTACTGTCTAGACTGGGGTCGCGGACGTAAAAATTTAATATCTAATGCAATTACAATATAGTATAGGTATTCAAAAAGAAATATTAACTTTTGTGATAGCAAATACGCGTTTGTCATATTTTTCGTGAAATATTTAAGATACCTATGAAATGTAGCGAACGATTGTAGTTTTTCAAGCAAGTACATTTGCAAAAAGTAATTTCGCTATACTGAGCTTCTATGTAAATTCATCTAGACAAAACCCGATTGTTTCGCGAATAAAATGCGGCGATAATGCATATTTACGCCAATTAAATTTCGGGAACATGCAGTTTGCGCGAATCGATTTTGATAAGTATTCAATTTTGGGGATTTAATTGGTTCCATTAGATATGAACCCATGCGTACAGTTGAACCCACGACAAATGCACCTGCATACTATTGCACCTATGGAAATTTGCACCTACGTATATGAACCCATACTAACCCTAACCCATGAATTTTAGCACCCGCTTATAGATTGAACCCGCGGATATACGGGTGCAAATGTATGGGTTCAAATGTACGTGAATTCAAATGTGCACCGATTCAATTATATATATATACGTACTGTTTGCGTTATGCACTGCCTACCGTATTTCTTTCAATTTCAATGAAAATTATTGTATTTTGTTTTGATCGCCGTCAACGTTGAAAATACAGACTCGCATAGATACGTTGAGGCGAAGGGCAGGAGTACAGTTACTGCTAAATCAGATAATGTTGGAAATTCTGTTCTACCACTAAGCTGAAGCATTTTTATAGAGAATTCAAGGCTCAAGTCGCACGTTAGAATCAGAAGGTAGATCAGCAAATTTTTCCGGGTATTCAGTGCGCGACTCATAACGACTCTTACTGAAGTTAATACCTTTCATATAGCATCCTGTATAACTGCATTTAGATCAGGAGAATTTCGTTAGCTACTGGGGCCTTCGATGAATCATACAGTGGTTAAAAGTAATAGGTGTACCACTTACAGATTGCATTCTCGCATGAAATCCGGCTGCAAATAATGTTATTGCTACTGCTCCGTCGTTACACATGTCAGTACGCAGGAAACTTTCGCTATATATTCTTTTTAGTATGCCGACTATTTGTTTTCTCATTGTACTCGCGCCTATTCGATTCACAAATCGTTGTCGTATTTGCCTCTACTTCTGCAGAAACCACATCGACGGTTTCATTTTTTTAACCATCTATCCATTCATTCCGTTAAATTAACCTTTTCAGTATTTAGCCCGCAATATTATTTACCAGGCACAATAAACTGATAAAGCGACGAAACAAAAAGAAAGGCGGATAAATCCTAATTTATATTTGATGTCGTGGCATATCTGTCATTAAGATTTCCGCAGCACCAGAAAAGTGATATAAATAACGATGTCTGGCCACCGACGGCATGGTAGTAATTCGGCATTGTTACTCAATCTTCGTCGTCAATGATCAAATTTGCATAACGATCGGAGTCGTTATTGCGCCCCGCTTCTATAATTTCATGTCTCCAAATTGTAAGATTTACATTAGTTTTAGTAATTGTGTTTGAAACGAAAGTCCAAGAATATTGCGACCACTAAAATTCGTCATATCCGACATATATCACACGAACCCTGGACAGACGAAAATATACAAAAATATTCATATTTGTGTTAGTGTGCTGCAAGACTTAAGATTGTCTTCTTTGTTCTTATTATTTTGTAAATAGTAAATTTGAATATCAGATTGTTCAATATTGACACTTCACGTGAATATGATATCCTTCGAAGTGAAATCTGCGTTGATGCCAAGGGAGGAAAAAGACAACAAATTGTTCAAAAACGGTACTCTTGGTGAGTCGCAGACAATGTCGCTTGCTATTAATGAAGAACAAATTCCATACATGTTATGGAAAAACATTTGGGACAGAATTTCTATAATGCTATGCTGTTTAAGCCGAGCTATTCAGGAGTCTGACTGACCACGTCTACTGACTAAAATGTGAGGTGCAAGTAGAGCAAGTCCTCAAACTCTCGGCAGTAACAATGAGGGATTTCGAAGAAAACTATAGAAGTAGGTTTTAAAATTGACAAAAAACAATCTGCAAATGTGAGGTTTTTATATTTACTATATTATATATTAATAAATGAATTCTGAATTTTTAGCTACGTCATCCAATTTCGGACTAAGCGTCACTAAGGGGTAATATGTTCAGTTCTTGTGAATGCTTTGACAAGACCAAGGTAGAAGACAAAATTGTGAATGAACCTGAAACGAGGGAATCGCAACACATGGAACATTGTGATAACGAACCATATTTGGACGATGGCTTTAAAATCGGTACTGTCAATGAAGATAAATGGTTTTCAGATGAATTCATCAAGGAAAATCATACTGTTATAGTTAAAGCAGATGCATCACAATGTCACATTTGGCAAGGTAAAGATTGGGAAATGAATTGCCATTGAATTTAAGCGTAATTACAAAATCTAAAAAAGTAGCAAAAGTAACAAAAATTAATATAAAAAAGCTTTTCAAATTGTTTAATTGAATATCAGAATTTATCAGACGTGTACTTACAGTCAATATGTAGTATCAAAGGAGTGTTTGATTGCATTACAGTAAGGCTAAAACAAAATAAGCATCTAATTCATTCGTTACTGATATAGGTTGAACGTTAGACCGACAAATGCGTCATTCTAAGTTGTACATTATTTGATTATAAACCTTCCGTCCTTACAAATGGATAGGGAGCTGGTTTGAAATTCAATAGGTTCGTCTTCAGCAGCTCCCGAGCCGCAATATCATCAAACTGTGCAGCTCGGGCTTCATAGCCACTGAAATTTTTGGTAAACGTGATAAAATATTCGGATTATTAAGAACTGGATCCGCTGAAATTCTTCGGGAGTTCCGGGAGTAAGCTTGGTTCCAGTTCCAACAAGACGTCAGGGCTTCATGTCCCCACGCTCCGGCTCCAGAGTCCTGGGTTTATTGAGCAAAAACGGGTGTCTCAAACTTATGGAATAAAACATTACCTTGTCTACATTTCTCACTTGGTGCTACAATTCTGCTACGCATTAAAGCGCGATTTTTCAAAACTGACCATAAAATTGCAATCGATCTAACAATGAAACGTACTTGGAAATTGTAATGCTTTTTCGATACTAAATTTATTGATGTTTAGTGATGTATATTCCCAAACCATATTACTTTAAAAGGCTGTTAGCAAAACTAGCTTGTTTTGAGTATATATGTATAGATCTGCTACATCTCAACAAGACGCATACTACCTTCAAG